AAAAAGGTTGATAAATACTTAAATGAGATAGTGAAGCTTTCACCAAAGGACATCGATCAAAAGGGAAAGCCACAAAAAGCAAATGGAGCTGAATCTGAAACATGCAGAGATGAACTGGGGATAACAAGAGCTAATTAATTGTTTGGGACGTTTTGTTCTTTTAAATTTATATATGATCACAGGAAAAGGTAAAAATGAATCAAACAAAGAGAGAAGGGATCACTTCAAAGTACAAAAATCTCTACTCAACTAAATTTTCTCTCTTAGTTTCATTTTTCTTCCCCGAACCAAACAGCAAAGTAACAAATGAAATATGGAAAAAACAGATAGTATGGGGGGAGAAACGATATACCTTAAGTATTATTTTATAAAATTCGAAGTTGAGGTAATGTCAGCTCAAGAACCTGCAACTGTTTGGATCGAAATGAGACTTGGAAACAATAAGAACAATCGAACCGAGAGAAATGAAAAATGGAAATATAGAAAACGGAGAGGGAATGACGGCAGAATAGGAGACGTTGCTGTTTGGCTCTGAGATTATATAAATGAGGAAGAAGGAATTAGAAGAAAAATGGCCATGGGGAGAGTGAGTGAAGGGAGTATCTGTTAGTAGTGGAAGGAAGAGAACGAGAATATGAGAGAGAGAGAGAGAGAGAGAGAGACGTGTTGTATCTCACGTGAGCTTTTTCCCTCCAATCTCCATGAACCCGTCACCCCAAAAGTAGTTTAGGTCCAATTTACTGTTTTAACCTCTTTGCCGCATTGGAGATTTACAGTTTATTTCTCCTCAGTACTAGTGCAAATTTGCAAGGCAGTCTAGTCCACCTAACATTTGCTAGTAATAGCATTTTAACACGTTGTTCTAACACATATTTCGTAAACTTGGTAATCTTACACACTCTACTCTACGAAAAGATATGAAGTTAAATAAATTTACATATAATTTTATTCTATTTTGTGTTTTAATCGTATCAATATAATTAATATGTTTAATTAATCGTATTATTATATTTAAATATTTAAAATTAAGATGTTTAATATTAATGATGAATTTTATTAATATGATAATAAATTTTATATATGTTATTTATGTTAAATTTTATTATATTTGATGTTTTTATTATTTTATTATAATTATTTTTATAATTATTAATTTTAAATTTATATAATAAAATTATATTTAATTATGAATATTTTAAATTAATTCTTGTTAAACATGTGTTAAGAAAAAATTATATTAATAGTTATGTTTATTAATAATTATACGTTTTATATTTATGTTTAATTTTATCACATTTAAAACACAAATTGTCAGATCTACTATATTGAAATTCTTTTGTCCAATATTTGGGAATGGCTAAAGGAATCGGCTGCTCTTTCAACCAATGAAACAAATAGAGGGAGGATAAAAAGGTCCTTCACGGCCCAGAATAGGAAACTGGAAGCCGAAATTATCACTGGAATTTACTAGTTCCAACATCACCTGACATCGGATCGAAGTACTGGAGATGGAATCCAGTTTCTGCCAACAGCTTTACAAGGCTTCAGAAGTACACCACTGCTTGGCTTAGGCCCGGTGGCTTGGAAACTTGGCTAACACAAGTGACCCACTAAAATAAAAATTTAATGCTAAGTGAACCTAACAACTGCCATGGCCCATAGCTCTCCAACATCAATAGCAACTTTGAAAAAACTAGGCCACGTTATTTGGACTGTAAAGGTTCAAAATTCAGAATATGCGGGCGATAGAATTGAATATTTGCTCATTTAATGGAAGAATTGAATAATTCTTCTGACTCTATATGCTACATATGTTTGGTCAGGTATGACTAAGCTTGATCAAACAAAAGAAAAATACTAGGCCGGCGTAGAGTACATGTTATACTGGGATTTGTAGCATATTCCATTGCCTGGTCAGTTTGTAGGCATTTTCTTGGGCACATTGTGTCGTAAGTCAACAGTAGGCGGCACACACAAAGGAAAAAAAAAAAAAATCTCTTCTACCATACTATGTGATAAACGTTGAATACGAATGTTGTATGGTTTGCACAATCAGAAGAGCCTTTTCTCTTTAACAAAACTTCTCGAACCTATTAATTTCCCTGATGGAAAAATTGGAGATTTTTGTATCCTATGCAGATTTTAGAAACAGCCTTCTTCTACATTTTGGAGTTAGCTGAATGTCGACCAACCAGAGGGCTTTTTGAAGACTATCAAGAGCTTGCTCGTACCGTAGGAACCCCATGAACCAGAACTCGAAACAATCTTTCGTCACTACTTCTAAGTACTTTTCTGCTGGCTTGTTCACGTTCTCACTCCGGTTGGCTCTTTTGATCTTCCTTATTGGTATCATAACCTGCAGCACATGTTTAACTAACTGTTACAATTAAAACTCCACCATGCTCTGATTATTTACAGTAAAATTAAACTGAAAGGAAAATCACAGAATGAAAAGTATTTGAAACCTTGTAAGGTATCCTGATTGATTGTCCAGTAGCACTAGAAACGGTGATTAAACTATCACTGATGAAGGCCACCTTTTCTGTAGAAACAAACAAGAGGCCTGCAATAGGGCCAGCTGTTGTTGACAGATAACATTGGGAAGCCTTTAGCATCTCCTCTCCTTCTGCCATTCCAAATTTTTGTTTGAAAATATTCTCCCTTCCGCCTTCTTGAATGATCTTGGCCCCCAACCTCAACTTTCCCTTCACTGTTTCAGACAGTTTTGACCCCATTTTCACTGTAATTTCAAGCATCACCTCAATCCTTATACATTCTAGTCGTAAAACAGTTATTCAATCATGTTTACTCTACGTTGATTAAAGTTAAAGAAGAGGATTCTCAACCTACCATGGTCACGGAGCCTGGATGCAAAGTTGCTGCTTTCCTTCCTCAAATTTTTTGTATTACCCATCTTGAAATCCATTTCTTCTGCTTATTGTGTGTGGCTCAAAGTATAGACAGAAAAAGAAACAGCGGCAGGCTAAAAAGGGAGTAAGGAGAGAATTCAAAGAGAGTTGTTAGGGCTTACAGGATCAGAAGGAGGAGGAGGCATCTGAGGAAGAGCAGGGACTTTGGATTATGCTGACAGGTTCAGATAGAGAAGAAGGTTTTTCCATATGAATTTATGGATGGACTCTCCATGACCTTATCTGCGAACTGATCCATCATGCTCCGAAGGAAACCCACTCATTCTCTCAAAGGCCGACACAGACTTTTGGATTAGCTACACATAAACATAACCCTTACCTCGGACTGAACAAAGGGCAGAAGAGCGAAGGGAATTTAATCTAATCTTTGCAAGCCAATAGTAACTGTTCCAGGTATATACTTATCTAATAAGACTAGCCCGTACCAAAATATATATTGTACATTTTGTTTGAAGATAAATGTGATTATCATTATTTTATCATCTCCAGAATAATTATCTTAACAACTATTCTTTCATTGACCATATAAATTTATCTTTAAAATATCTTTATCCAAGGAGAAAAAATAGTTTTCATAGGTGTTAAAATAATTTATATAAATTATTTTAACAGCAGGACATTTCCTATTGTTGCGTCGTAGTGAGTACTAATTCACAAACATAGTGATTCTAGAGGGAGTGGCATGCGATTTCCTGGGTGTTTCAGTTTTCTCCGATAGATCTCGAGAAGTTCCAAGTCCATAAAAGTGGCCACATTTTCAGTTCCCCCAACCAATTCTTTTCCAAACAAACAAGCTGAAAATGACAGTTCGTTCTTTAATAGAACCTGAGAGAGTGGAATTAGTTTACCATTACGGAGATTCTGCATCATCGTACACACGGCTTGGCAAATGGCAACTTATACACCAGTCGGCTGTAACATTAAGGTTCGTCACTTATTACTTAGGAAAATGAAGCAGAACAATATAGGAGTGTGCGACGATCGGTTTTATTGGTTTGGTTCGATTTTTGATAAAAATCGATCAAAATTTTTTACAATATAACTGACCGAACCGCATAAAATATAATGTCAGTTTTGATCAATTTTTCAGAGACTCGGTTCGGTCAATTTTTGAGAGTGAGATCCATGGGTTGACTCGACGGGTTAGAGAGAGAGGGAGTCAGGAAGAGGCAGAAACCATGCAAGGAGGAGGGGAGAAATTAGGTCGAGAGGGGGAAATTAGGTCGAGGACTCGAGGGGAATTAGGTCGCGGGGCGAGGGGAAATTAAATAGAAAGGGGTATAGGGTAATTTTGTCGTTAAAAACTCACCGGTTTTTCGGTCAGTTCGGGGGAAGGAGTCCCCTGACAATCGAGCCGAATCGGTAGACCAAATCGATCGGAACAACCGACGGTTGCAATTGGTTATCTAGTCGCAACCGCCGGACACCCCTAGAACAATATGTAAAAGATCGGGCCGACTAAAAATCTTAATGTCCAGGTTCTAAAGTATAAAACCATTCGGCCAACCAAAGATTATACTATTCCATTATCCAGTCTCTAAAGTATGAAACCTTTCCTAGTTCTTGTTACATATATAATTGACAATAAAATATTATATTGCCACACCATAGCCTTCAAAGGAATTATGTTATAGTACAACATGAACATCTAAACATACCGTTTTCCTCCTACCCTTCCCATAGTTTGCACAAATCAAAGGGTTAGGCACACTGACAACAGGTATTTTTCATCAAATTCCTGAGACTCAAAATTTTGAAGCTCTCTGGATGAATGTATATTAGGATTTATTTTGTTGTTCGGTTAAGTATCAGGATTCAGTGTTAGATAGCATGTTTCTAATATAACTTAAACAGCTATCTAAGATATTTATTCTAGTCTAAAACGACTACTCCATGCAATATGGGGCAGTGAAACTGCCAGTTGTGACAGTAGCAAGCCTACATTCAAACTACGAAATCTTTGTGACTTAACTATGGCGTCTGTGCTGCAGTCAGTAAAACTGAGTGCCTCCCATCTGACCCATTTAATAAGTCGTCTGCGCTAAACCCAACATTTGTCTAAGGATTTAGCCCAGTTTCCCCAAAGTGGGGGATGCAGCAACTAAAATATAGTGACAGTTCCTCAAAGCGGACAGCTGTTTCAACATATACTTTTAACATATATAGTGTTGAAGTTCTCACATAATCCCACCTGTGACAACATAACTTGGTTTTCATGCAAACTGAGTTCAAAGAAAAGTCAGAGTACGGCAAAGAGGTTTCTTCTGATGCCTCACGGAATCAGCACAACTGACCCAGATGTTCTACGATTCTCAAGGTCTGCATGAGCCTGTGCTGCTTGAGACAAAGGGTACTTGTGATTCACACGAACCCGCAGGATGCCAGATGCAACATTAGCAAACACCTCCCCAGCAGTTTCGAGCAACTCATCCCGAGTTAGTGTGTATTGCATCATGGTAGGCCTAGTCAAGAACAAAGATTTTGCAGCAAGTGCAGACAATGGAACTGGATCTGGTGAACCAGAAGACTGCCCAAAACTCACCATATACCCACGAGGCTTTAAACATGCCAAGGAGCCCTAAAAAAATAACTTTTAGTAAGGAATGCATTCACAGCAAAATGGAAGAGTGCAAAAAAGAGACCTGGCTCTGTGCAAAATAACTAAAATTTTCAGGCTGAAAAGTTCACTAAAATTACTCATACAAGCATATCATTTAGCCCTTTGGTTTGTAACCTAAATTCTTTAATGACTTCAATAATATAGATTCAACCTAAAAGAAGGTGTATTACCAGAAACAGGAAATAACATAAGGAGCAAAGAACAAACAAGATGATAGAACATCATTTTAAAGCACCAACAGAAGCTCGAGTGCACACCTTATAATATGGACATCTCTTCCATTCAAGTATTAGTAGAATAGGGCAAACAGAACAGATTATTACCTGAAAGGTATCTTTCCCTACAGAATCATAGACAACTTCAACCCCTTTGCCAGAAGTTATCTCATTGACACAGGCAACAAAATCCTCTTCCTTATATATTATGACATGGTGACATCCATCTTCCTTTGCTTGAGCTGCCTTCTCTTTGGTTGAGACAGTTCCGATGACAGTGGCACCAAGGGCATTTGCCCACTGGCATAATAAAGATCCAACTCCACCAGCTGCAGCATGAACAAGAACTGTGTGTCCAGGTTCAACCTGTATTACAAGATATTGTGTTACAACTTTTGTTAATATAGTTAAGACTCTGATTCCAAACTAAAATAAGATCAAGGAAATGAGGATTGATATAGGGATAAAGAGAAAACAACCAAGGTGGGAAAGCTAAATTTTTACAATTGTAATTATAAAACAACGTGTATTTATTCAACCTACCTTGAAGCAACGACGTACTAGAAACTGGGCAGTCATACCCTTCAGCACGACGGATGCGGCGATAACAGGGTCAACAGAAGGAGGAACTGGCACAACCCTGTCTGCTGGAAGAATTTGCTCCTCAGCATATGAACCCATAGGATTACCAGCATAAGCTACAACATCTCCAACTTTCCTGCCGGTTAGTCCAGGTCCTACAGCTGTCACCTCTCCAACAGCCTCCATACCTGTAATTAAATAAGGTAAGCACGTGATTTCTATAAGAATAAAAAAGAAAGCAAATGATTTCTGCAATAACTATCATTGGCAAAGATGCATATTAACACAATAACCATAGCCTTTCCTGTGCTCAATCGTCATCCAAAGAGCATCCTGTGCATCCAAAAACGCAGAAAGCATGTTATATTAACGGAAGTTGACAACTAAAACTAATGCACACTGATTTTTCATCCCATTTGACTTCAGCATGATTAGTACTTCTGGACATTTAAGTCATTCCAAGGAAAAGCAGACACAAAATACTTATTGAAAAGAAAATCCTAAAGAGTACCTCATTCAGATATTAATGTCAAGTTTTATATAGATTACATCTGATATCTGAAGTTCCAATTTCAAGATAATCATAAGACCAGGTTCAAAAATGGAATACATTGTGCTAATCATTATCTTGAAGACCTAACATAAAAGAAATTTGATTGCATTAACTATGTAAAGAAAGATGAGTGATAGACTTACACAATGAAATGTATGGTACAGAAAATAAGTATTAACAATTGACCATAAGAGCAATTTAGTAGACTTCTCAAACTGTTATGCAACTCTATTGTTAAATTTTAACTTCCCTATTTTTCCAGAATTTCTAGGCATTCATATAATTCTTCACTGTAAGTACCGCTAAAATTCAAGATGACAAAAGAGTCAAATTAGCAGCATTTGGACAATAATTAATGAGAACAGACTACAAAGACTTTCTGCAGATTAACAAGTCTACAAAACACAACACATATCATCCTGGAAAGTTTTTCAGTTACCATCATGTAAAACTTGTTCTACTTTTACACTGTGATACAATTCACACAAACCTGGCGTGAAGGGCATGGTAGCAGCCTTATAAACTCCTTTGCGGAAATAGATATCGATGAAATTAAGTCCAATGGCCTTGTTCTTAATGCGAATCTCACCCTCTTTGGGTTTCCCAAGTTCCACATCCTCCCATTTAAGGACCTATCATAAACATCAATTGAGAATAAGTAACCATGACAAAGAAATTGAGTTGGCTATGGAAAATAAGACAGCGGTAGGCCGATGCCAAGAAGTCAATTCAAGCAAATCATAAACACTCCAATCTAAACAGCTCCAATGTAAATTCTCAGGATATAAGAACATGCACCAAAGCATTATGATCCGTCTTAATAAAGGCTATAAAGGGGGGAGAAATGATCAAACAGTTAACTGTCTACAAACCCAAAATAATTCAATCAAAATTAACCAAAATGATTGATTTCTATTTACCCAAACAAGTGGACAACCATTCGATCAAACTCATACAAGATATAACAGCAGAGCAATGAAGTATTAGAAAGAGAAAGAAAGACCTCAGGTCCGCCAAATTCATGAACCCTGATAGCTTTGACCATTTTTTTCGGTTGTGATACTGCCTCTGCTTCTGTACTCAGTGCCTTGGCTATTATCAGTTTGCTCCTGAGAGTTGAAGATAAAGCTGAGTGCTTAACACTCTTATTGTCGGTCAACTTCTGCACCCAAAATTTTGATGTTGAGACACTGAAAGACTCTGGAACAAAGTGGAGCAGATGCAAGCGTTGGTTCTGGAACCCAAGTTTTAACAGGCCCATTTTTACTTTACTTTTCTGACTTGTACGCCTACAGAATATCTGTCATCTTCAAAGCAGAGTCCCAATAATCGGTTGCGCCACGTGTTTTTCCTGTGTTTGGTGCAGGAGCGAATTATAATTCATGGGCGCGGATGGACGTTGCTAACTCGATGAAAGCAAGGGACCTTGGGCTTCGGCAATCCATTGTAGAAGTTGGTCCGGATTCACAATAAAGTAATGGGCTCCGTCCCCCGGCCTAGTTATACGTATCAGTTGCGTTGTGAGCTGTCCGTGACTCATCGAACCTGACTCCCAAGGAGTCGCCCGCTCGTAAACATCTTCTTCTTTTTTTTCTTTTTTTTCTTTTATATCTGGAATTTCGATCATTTGGTTGGGTTTTGAATTTATTTTGTTTTATAATTTGTGTGATGGATTCTGTGAATTTATGTAAATAAGAATGGTAATTTTCGTTAACTAAATGCTGGCACTAACTTGAAATTTTTTTGCCACATGATAATAATAATGAGTTAAAAGCTCAAGTGAAAATTTGATAATATTCTTTTTTATTTTTCATTTCTCTTTTCTTTTCTCCCTTATGTTAGGTGATGAATTTTAATCCATATCATCAATAATACATGGTAATTAATTTTTTTTTTTGTTGACAACGGATTCTTCTTTCACATAAAATTTTTTTTAATATAATAAATTATATGATGATTTAACAATAGAGACTTATATGGTAAATTTAATTAAATTTAACACTATTTTTTTTTCATGTTTAAGCCATTTCTTTTTCTTTTTTTTTTTGTTCGCATTTTACTCATTTCTTCATTTGTACCTTCTTAAAGGATGGGACTTTTGAAAACCAAAAATTAACCCATTTTTTACCATTACCATTTTGCATTTCTAGTGATTAGGGAGGACAAGTGTTGAAAAATGAAAAATAGCAGAAGGGAAAACGATGTCCAATTACATCCATCTTAATCACGTGATGAAATCAACTCATGCACAATATTATAAGGCACTAATTAGACATTATCATTAATTAGGACCGAAGTTGAACTGCTAATTAACATACTTAATTGACCATATTTAAGCTTTGCTCATTTGGTCAGGAAGTCTCGCTTCACCTCATAAGATGGAGAGTTTTCACAATTCCAGGGTCTAAACTTTGACTCGATCCCCATTCGATGCATGGCCTTGGGAGCACTGCCCAAGCCTACAGGTAATTAACCAAGGATCTATACGTGGCTCCAGGCTTCCAGCCTTGTGGGATCACGTTTTTGGCAACCAGGGTTTGGCCTGATAATTGAGATTTTAATCGGATTGAAAATGGAGGGTGTAATTCTGACCCAGCATCAAGCTTCCACACCGCACCCCATGATTGTTGCATGGCTCGCCAGTCACCCGACCCCCTTGACGCCTCCTGCAGATAGACACCGGCAAGATCACCATCTCCCTCTTCAAACTCAACCAGCACTGCAAAGTAGTTAGAGTTTGACCCCATGTCAACGTGGAAGGCTATTGTTTTTCCTGAATAGTCACAGGCAACTCTGCAATCCGCCAAACAAAAAAAAATGATAGTACTGTTCCTCATAATTTGTATCTTTCCCATGATTTGAAAATGACCATAAGTTTTTTATTGTTTTTTCAGTCTTTCATAACATTGATTAGAAAGAGGATCATTACCTTGCGTATCGAATTTCCAATATTCCAGCATCACGAAATTTATCTTCTTTACCGGTAATTGCCATGGCACCAAATGCTGTTCCACTCAGATCGAAATGTGCCGAGTCGGATGCACAAAGGCCTCCAGGGCAAAAATCTGTTATCACCACCCTGACCGGTTTTCCTGAACAAGAGGGATGTTTGGTGCACTTCACCTAGAGTAAAAGACACATTAATTACTATAAACAAACAACAGACTGATCAGGTCAGCCCTTGTTAACAGGCATGATTGAAAAGCAAAAAGTAATTAGATCAGAATATGCACTTCAACAAGTCGAAGAATGAAAAGAAAGAGGAAGGCAATGAAAAATGACACTTCCGGGGCCGTCTGTCTCCTGAAGTTGTGTACATATGGAACTATCTCATCCCATTGTCTGCCAGAGAGGAAGGACAAGTAGTAACAAAAGCAAAAGCTACCAGTGACTGCTACTATTGAAATGGATGGCCAGCATGAGATGTATAGCTCAGTGGCTTACTGTACTGTGCTTTTTGAAGGATGGGCATGTGCTAAGTCTTGACTCTAGAGATCCAACTTCCACTAATAATGGGCATTACTTGTACTCCAAACTCTAAATGCCCTTTTTGAAAACTTGAATCAATTAAACTGAAGGAATAGTTAAAATTAGAAATTTCTATTGTTAAAGGGGGTAAAGAGAAGGTTTAAACGTGTCATATCAAAGTACTTGGAACTAGGAAGTCAAGTTGAATAATGTTGATGTGCTTGATTCAGGCAAGTTGCACAATAAAGCCGCAGCTGGTTCTTACCTGATAACAGGCTCCACATTCTTTGCCTGATTTATAGAGAGATGGGCCGATTCCAGTTACCATGGAAGAGAAAGGAGGCAGTGACACTGCATTACCATACCCACAAGAACCTCCTGCATAAATGACACGCACAGATCGATATTCATTAGTCACCCTAGTCATCCTTTAATATATATGCCCCCCACCCCACCCCACCCTTCCATGTCTCTTTGCATTAATTACCATCACTTCCGGCGCCGTCAGGGCTGCCATACCAAGTGGCTCCGGCAGATGACCAATGGATTTCAATGGTTGATAAGTTGAATTGTTTGGACTTGAAGGAAACACACAGCTCAAAGTGGCAAAAGAAGACTAGTACTATTATATATGCTAAAGATAAACAAACGGATGAAAGAGGGGCCATAGTTACACTTTCACTAGGCACTGGATAGAGGCACTACAATAATTTAAGGGGCTTGGAAAAAACTCTTAAATGTATTGCTATTGGCCAATTAGATATAGTTGTTGCTTGCAAAATACTAACCGCTTGTATTTATAGAGAAGAGCATGTGCCTGTCGCTAACAATCCATGTAATTATATCAAAATTTTTCATTCAATATTTTAATTATCTTGTTCGTTGAACTTTGGCTATAACCAGAAATCCTACGTGAGGGGTCACATCTAATTTTTTTTTTTATTATTTGAGATTATAATTATTTCTTCTATGAAAATGATTTATGAGAATTAACACTATTATCAGATATTTAAGAATTTCAATATAGTATTTCGGAAATCAAAAGATAGTTCCAAATTGATATCCTTTTCACTCTCAGCTGAATTTTGGGCCATCTACCAAGGTTCAAATCTTTGCTGGAATAGGGGATACAAATAGGTTCAAGTTGAATTAGATTCTTTACTTGCTATATAGAGGATTTCAAGTTCAATTTTAAATTTGGAGTTGAATGCACATCTTTTGAGATATATAAAGAAGCTTCTTTGAAGAGATTGGAATGTTTCTCTTATTCACATTCACCATGAAACAAAATAGTGTGTCGATTTATAACAACTTAACATGAAAATCTCTTTTGGGTTTCAATTTTTTTGAAGTTCTTCCTTCTAGAATTACCATTTTTTTTTATTAACAGACATGTTAGGCATGGTATAACCTAAAATGATGTAATTGAGTTTTGTTTGATTAATATCTATTTCTGTATTTAATAAAAAAAAAGAAATTGAAGCCTCCAAGCAACAATTAATAAAATTACGACCATAGAGACAAATTAATCCCTTGGTATACATACATGGCATCCTACCTAACGTCTCACAAACAATTACTACTCATAGCCATCATTCTTTTTTTGTGTTTTTCTGATCTTGCATCATGCATGCTGGTGCTATTAAATTATCTTATGGCTTCTCTTTCCCCTTTGTTTTCATGTTGCTTATGGTTTTATCTTTCCTTATTATTTAAGATACAAGGTGATCACATTTTGCGTAGAAAAAACCATTTTCTGACGAAGCAATATTGGAATCGAATAAACTGCATCTATTCATCTACCATAAAAGAATCTTGTCGGTGCAGCTGGGGCGGAGCTGATGAGAAAAACACATTTTCTTCCATGGATTTTGCCGTTGATGGCGGTTATCGGTCGTTATATCACCTTGAGATTGCCGCCAATCTTTTCAACATGACAGCCATGACTGAATATATTAGTGCTCCTTCCTGGCCAAAACTTGGTGCATGCTGGTTGTTTTCTGGGCATTTTGCTCTCTTTAGAACTGAATTATCAACCTTATCTCAAAAATGTAATCAATGAAATATTGATGGTATGGTTCGGATTTATTTGTTTAAATTCTACTTTAACAGCCTTAATTGAAAATATCTGGATGAGAATGAACTCCCACCCACCAAATCTATCATTCTCTTAACTCTCAATAGTCTTGCAGATTATCATGAAATAGTTTATTCATCATCATATCTTGTATGGGATTTATATTGGACCCATGCTAGTCAATTTTACCAAACACAATGAAAAGCCTCATTTCATACAACTAGTATAACTATCACCTACATTGCATTTCAATATATTTTATTTATTTATTTTTAAATAATATAATAAGTAAAATTATAAAAAGTAACACCATGCAATTTAGATTTTTATTTACAAATCAAATAAATCTTTTTAAATACTTATAATAAAAAAGTTTAAATGACAATATAATACGATGATGAGCAAATAATATCCATTGTTATCCTACCGGCGGATAACAGAGCCTATGCCCAAATATACATTGGGCTTACATATGACCCAGTTATTGCAATTCCTAGGCCGAGGGTTTTGTTTAGTCCATTCATTATAGGCCTTGTTGGAAATTTTAAACCTAGTTTAATTACAAGCATTCAAAGATTATTTATTTTATGAAAATAGTATTTGGCCAAAAAAAAAAGAATATTATTTAATATTGTCAAAAATAAATAATTACATGATGTAAATTTAATTATCAAATGATGGTGAATGAATTACACATTTTGTTTATATGATTGTGTTTATATTAATATAGACTTAAGTACCAAGCGTTATGTTTATATTAATATTAAAGAAATATTTTTCTTTATTTAGTTTGATATTCCTAGACTTTAAAGGTAATAAATCCGGAAGAAAAAGGAAAGGAGCTTTGACATGATCATTACAAAGGTGCCAAGTAGGAAATGAGAAATGTTTCCAATTTCATTTGTGACGTAATATTTACAGAATAATTTTGGTCCGTATTTGCTTTGCATGCAAGATGGGGTGATTGTGCGGTGAAGCTGGAAGTCAGAGCTTCAGGACGGACAGACAAAACATTATCGCTTAAACAGGGCGGAGGTACAACTGTTGCTGGTCAACACCCAGAGAGCCGAAATTCTGCTAACCAAAGCTTTCGCAATAGAGTAACAAAATGAACGAGTGCCATCCAATAATTGAGGGATTCTGCCTGGAGGTTTCTCTTTGCCTTTTCGATAGTGCAAGCAAGATGTATAAGTTTTTCAAAGTTTATGCCTGATTCCGTAATATATAATTTATCATGTACTGACAGTGAAGTCCACGTGACTCCAAAGTTTCTAGGATCCAGTCCAAAGTTCAAATCCACATGCTCCAGCAAAATACAAATAACAAGTGATGAAACCCTTGTTTTTCTCCTTGACACCAATGAGTCACTGAGATCTTCAAGTCAATGAATACCGCTCTAATCATATCCTTCCATTATCTACAGCTTTGAAACATACTCTTCTCTCCCAAGCACAGCTCTGTGTTAAGCCATGGCAGTTGCTTTGGCAATTACAGGTGAAGGTGGGCAATACAATGGTAGGATGACCTTGTTCGTTGTGCTGTCATGTATGATGGCCGCCATGGGAGGAGTCATCTTTGGCTATGATATTGGAATTTCAGGTTTGTCCCAACTCTCAACCAAATTATTTGTATGCTGTTATCTTTCTTCTTTGCCTTGACCAGCAAAATTGTTAATCTAGTTTTAAGCTGAAATTCTTTCCATGCTACCCTTTTTCAATTAAGCATGGCTTATGAGATATGATCACTAACCAGCATGAAAATTAAACTCAGTGTGAAAGCTCGCTAGCGACAGTCTCTTGGCTGCTTAATTGCAATATATATTTATCCCAACAATAAACCTCTCTGTCAGACCATCCTCGGCAAAGAGCTTATTGACTGGGTGGTTACCTACATTAGTGCATTTTGCAGGAACTAAGCTTGAGCTTAACAGTGTCAACCAAGTATTTCACTGTAGAACTAAAGGCTGAGAGGGTTTGTCAAACTTCCTACATCCTCTCCCGTCATATTGCTTAGATGTAAGCTAACCAAGTTAGCTTCAGACTTAGAACTGCAAATTGCTTTTCCTTAGTCTTGAAAACTCTGAGCCCTCTGGACCTTAGAATCCCAATCACAACCTGTCTTCTGCAATTGAGATGCTTGATTAGTTCTTTCCTGAACTTCTTTGGATTATGGGCAAGAAAAGAAAAATGATCTCCAGTTTCCTCATCACTAATAATGCAATGTGGACAGGATGTGCTTGTGATGGCAACACCACAACTTTGCAATCTGGCCGGGCCAGCCAGAGTAAGGACTAGGTAGGGACGCTGTTAAAAGTATGTCTGGTGTAATGATGCTGAAACCATGTTAGTCGATGCCATTCCACCTTCTCTTGCCGTAAGTCCAATGGATTTTAGCAGTTGACAAACTTGCAATGTGCCTAATTATGCCACCATATCTGCTTAATCCGTTCCACAAGATTACAAAGCCTCATTATTACATACACATATATCTCTGTCATCACATGGTTATAAAATGGCTCTAGTCTTTTATTGACAACAATCAGCAACTGGTATGGGCTTATTTTAAAAGCATCTAAATTCTGAAAGGACTGAAAATGGTGGTGCAATCCAAAATTGTTCAAAAAAAAAAAGGGAAAATAACCAGAAGAGGAAATGGTTGCTGTAAAAAGTTCTACGTCATAAGCATTCTTTTTTGGGTAATTGATTTCCAAGATATCTGCAGCCCTTCAATTCTTGATTGAAGTGAATAGGAGTCAACTTATATAGCAGACAATCAATTATTTACGCAAAAGTATGCAACTAAATCCTGTTATATCAACTAAACAAAGTTTTATTCTGCCAAAAAACAAGAGAAGCGAGCTGATTGTAACAATATATAGGCTTAATTTGTCCAAAAAAGGAGTCAACTACATGCCAGTTGCCATAGAACCTTGATGTCTTCTTGTTAGTAATTCTTAACAAAAGTTCTAGGCTCTATTTGGTTAATACTTTTGTTTTTTACTTTTTGCTATTTGTGTTTGGTTTTCTACATTTTTTTTTCCAAAAAAAGGGAAAAAAAATGAGTCCTAATGATCTCATTGACTATGTGAAGTTGGAGTGACATCTATGGAGCCATTTCTCAAGAAGTTCTTCCCGGACGTATATAGAAAGATGAAGGAAGACACCAAAATCAGCAACTACTGCAAATTTGATAGCCAACTGTTAACATCATTTACCTCTTCACTATACGTAGCTGGACTTTTCGCTACTTTCTTAGCCTCATCAGTTACAAAAGCTTTTGGTCGCAAGCCATCAATCCTGGCAGGAGGTGCTGCATTCCTTGCTGGTTCAGCCCTTGGTGGTGCAGCTTTCAACGTTTACATGCTCATATTTGGTCGTATCTTGCTTGGGATCGGGGTTGGATTTGCAAACCAGGTACATGCTTAAGCAAATTCCTCTAGAATGTGGAAGCTTTTTTTCTGCATGATCTTTAATTGTTGACCGATACATTATTCTCCAATTTTCTTTATTTGCCCTGCAGTCAGTCCCTCTGTATCTCTCCGAAATGGCACCACCTAGATACAGGGGAGCAATCAACAATGGCTTCCAGTTCAGTATTGGCATAGGAGCACTGGTAGCTAACCTTATTAATTTTGGCACGGAAAAGATCGAAGGTGGTTGGGGCTGGCGTATTTCCTTAGCTATGGCAGCAGTTCCAGCCTCAATCCTAACACTAGGCGCAATTTTCCTCCCGGAAACACCCAACAGTCTAATCCAGAATAGCAGTGATCATGACAAGGCTAAAACTTTGCTCCAGCGAATACGAGGCACCGGAGATGTCCAAGCAGAACTCGATGATCTCATCAAAGCGAGCTCAGTCGCTAAAAGCATCAACCATCCATTCAAGAAAATCGTACAAAGAAAGTACAGGCCTCAACTAGTAATGGCAACAGCCATACCCTTTTTCCAACAAGTGACAGGCATCAATGTCATTGCATTTTATGCTCCAATTCTATTCAGGACAATCGGAATAGGTGAAAGCGCTTCCCTCTTGTCCTCTGTGGTAACCGGCGTTGTGGGAGCAGGTTCTACATTCATATCAATGCTTATAGTAGATAAATTCGGGCGAAGAGCTTTGTTCATGGTTGGGGGAATCCAAATGTTTGTGTCACAGATGCTTGTTGGGGGAATCATGGCAGCTCAGCTAGGGGATCATGGCACAGTGAGCAAAGGGTATGCTTACTTAGTTATATTCTTGATATGTATATATGTAGCTGGGTTTGGATGGTCTTGGGGTCCATTGGGATGGTTGGTTCCAAGTGAGATATATCAGCTAGAGATTCGATCAGCCGGGCAAAGTATAACGGTGGCAGTAAGCTTCGTGTTCACTTTTGTTGTCGCACAAACTTTCCTAAGCATGCTTTGCCACTTCAAGGCAGGGATTTTCTTCTTTTTTGGCGGATGGGTGGTGGTGATGACTGCATTTGTGTACTTTTTGTTGCCAGAGACTAAGTATGTGCCAATTGAACAGATGGAAAAAGTGTGGAAGGAGCATTGGTTTTGGAAAAGAATCGTGGGGGAAGAGGATGATGAGATTAAGACTCATCATTGAATTTAACGAGTTTTCGATCTGATTGTCTCGCAAGAAGAACATAGAAAACCAGTTTGCCTAGCAAACTCAAGTTCTTAGACAACTTTTAAATTTGTAATTCAAATCTCAGAAACAAGAATCTCAAATTCTCAGCTGTATAATTTAGGATCCCACAACTTTAATGCTTATTTGAAAAGTGATTGTGCATGTAATTGCCCCGGTTCAAAGCCAACTGTAACGGCCAATTTCTCTCTGACACACACTCTCT